ACTTAATGACTGAACTGATTTCTCTTTGGAAATGATATATTCAGATGGTACTTGCAGAGTCACCAAGGGGTAGTAAAGTGAAGGAGTAGTAAACGCCTACTGGACGGTTGGGTGGCTACCGCCCATCCACACATGGTGATGTGATATGAAGCCACTTGTCTTTATTCCCTCACAGCTAAGGTTTCTCCTTCAGGAAGCAGGTTACTTAACATATACTTGATTTCACCATAACGTGTATTATGACATTTAATTTCTTAAAAGTTTATAATCAGATCCTGCAAGACTGTTTTTCTAAACTATGACCAAAGTATAGCCTCATGTTAATAGCTTAAAATAGCTTTTCTTTACCCTTTTCCCTTTAAAAGAAAATAATTATTTTTAATGGAAAGAACATAGACTTTGATGAACAGTTCACATCCTTGCTTTATGCCTTGAAAAAAAATGTGTAACATGGAAAGATAGCTTAACATTCCCGAGTCACATTTGTCCAAATAATAAAAACAGTGGCAGCAAGACTTCATCACTAATGCCTGATGTTTTTGTATGATTAATCTGTTCCAGGTTCCATTCTAGTTTCTTTACACATATTAGACCATCGAGTTCTGGCAAGAACATTGCATAGCAGACACGGTCATTTCCACTTTACAGGCGGGAATCTGAAGACCGGAATTAAAAATAACTAGTCCGAGATTGCCTAGTTAATCAATGGTGGAACTCGCAGTCAGACACAAGCTGGACTGGGCTAATACAGTTGACTTTCTTATGATACATCAGCCTTGTGAAGTAAGAATGATAGTATTAATAACATCCACCTTGTGTGATCATTATGAAAGTTAGATATAACGTATGTGGAACTCCCACCACCAAAGTTGTTCCACAAGAGGCTTTAAACAAATGGTAATCATTATTAATTTAAAATGTCTGCAATTGAAACCGATACGCCAAGGCCAGTAAAAAATGAGAGCTTCGTAAGGAAAAAAGTAGGAGGTATACCTTTGTTTTATTTTGCTTGTTGATTTCTGTGCATGCTTGGTATTCTTTTCTGCTGAGCACAGGTTTTATTTAGAAGAAATTAAATTGTTTTTTTCTTTGAGTGCAGAAAGAATAGTTGGAAACACTGAATGGAATAGCTGATGTACTATAGTAATGCTTCTCAGATTCCCCCCCGCACCCAAAAATTAAGTCTGTAAAATGAAACATTTTTTTTTAACTTTTGTCAGTTCAAGGTTCAGTGTTATCTAGAGAGCTTTGTGGTAAACTCAGGATTTCTATAGGTATGATTTTGTCATAAATGCAGAATTATAAAAAAGAGATAATGGCACTAAGTTTGCATATTAAATATACTGTGCTACTAGTTTTCCATGAAGCTTTTACTCAACAAATAATTTACTAGAAGAGCCGTGACCTCGGAGTTTGAGCAAGTCTTCCCATTTCCAATTTGGCAGCAAAAGTTTCACACTTCTTTAGTTACTCTTGTGGGAGAAATCAGAATGCCAATAGTCACCTTGATCTAAGCCCCTTATTGGAGAAAAATTCAAGGATAGATTTTGGATTTTCCTCATATTTCATCGCTGGGGTCACTCCAATACATGGTACTAGAATTTGGGATTTTTATTTCATTTTAGATTGGACTGATTTTCCAGTGTTGGTCATTAAAAACAATTCCAACTCTGAAGAGATCTGGGATGGTTGTTATCCTATTAATTAAATGAAGCTATTTTATTTAACAATTATATTGTTAAACTTTCCATATACTTAGAATAATAATACTGAAACCTGAATGGATATGAGCTTTTCTTACTGAATTTAGTGTCAATATTAAATACCTTATTGAAACCCATACTTTGAAGGCTCGATTGAGAAACTGACAAAAGAGTTGACTGAATAAAAATAATGAAGCAGTTCACTGGTTGTTCGGGTTATGAAAGATTAAAACATTAGAGAGAAAGTGAGCTGTGAACATTATTATGATCACGGTGTTTTCATAAATACCATTTTATGTCTCCACCACCATTCTAAAAAAAAGTACCCTGGCCATGCGCGGTGGCTCATCTCTGTAATCCCAGCACTTTGGGAGCCTGAGGTGGGCGGATCACGAGGTCAAGAGATCGAGACCATCCTGGCTAACATGGTGAAACTCCATTTCTAATGAAAATAAAAAAATTAGCTGGGCGTGGTGGCATATGACTTTAGTCCCCGCTACTCAGGAGGCTGAGGCAGAAGAATCGTTTGAACCCAGGAGGTGAGGCTGTAGTGAGCCAAAATCACGCCACTACTCTCCACTCCAGCTGAGCAACAGAGTGAGACTCCTTCTAAAAAAAAATTAACCTATCAAACAGTGAAAAATAAAAGTAGGTTGCTTTGACCATTTCATCATTGAGTTTTTTTTATATTCGAAATGTGGGAGGTTGAACTAAAATTTGTTGGTTCCCTATTTTAAAAAAGAATCGTTATATGTGATACTTATTTATTTATATAAACAAAAATACAGAGCTCTTACCTTGAAAATAACTTTTAAGGTAGGAATGATAAAGTATCTAAATGGAAAATGAATAACATTGTTCCTCATTTGTAAATTATGATATAAAGAAAATGTATAAAATATGTAGAAATTGTTTATATAAAAATAACTAAAACAGGTCTATTTCTTATTAACAAAAAGTTTCATCTTACCTAAAAAGTCTTCAGCTGGCTACAACAGGAGAAAAACAGAAATAGCATAAATATCCTAAAAACTCACAATCCCATAGATACTCTTCTCCATGCAGCCAATATTTATGAATTTGGAGTAAGTGACTTACTCTTACTCATATGTACTCTAATATATTTGAGCTTGATTGTAATTCATAGTCAAAGTAGCCTCGTTGTTAAAACCAAAATTAACCAAAGATTTTTCTTTTTCTTTCAAAAGCAATGCCAAGTGATTCTACCCTAATTGGGGGAAACAAAAAAAGATAAACCTTATTGGTGTCATCAAATGGTATTGACATAATGATAAATAGGTTTAAGGATAATAGAATATGTAATTAAAATTAAAGTATATATAAAAATAATTGATTTCACTTATTTTAAAACATAAGGTGATTTCATAATATTGATCAGAGATTCTTTTCCGTTTTGTAGTAAATATATATTGATTTCTGAAATTTGGGGATATTCCATAGTACACTTAGCTTAATACTGAGGCGAGCTTGCAGTCAGACTAATAGCATGTAGATGTGTTATCGTCATACTACAATCATCTCGTCAGTTTGCAGTTTCCCCTTTTCTAGGTGATGTTTCTTTCGTCTTGTTACACTCAAGACCTTCTGTAAATATCTTTAGTAGTAACTGCCAAACTATTAGTTAATAGTTCTCAAGAAAATTCCGAGATTTGGTTGACAGAAATTGGATTATTGGTTTGTTTTTGAATTCCTAGCCCAAGTTTTATTCTTTTATTCTTTGTTTCTTAAAAACACTCAAAAACTGTTTTTTTTCTTATTATTATTATAAGCTCTGTGGAAATATAAGCAAATCTCTGTTTATACATTTAAAATATGATAAAAATTACAAAATAAAGTCCAGTGAAATATAGGGCTTATATCCATTATGCCTTAAGAAAAATCCCTGTTTTCTAAAGTGCGCGTGGGCTTTTCTGCTTTGTTTTTGTTTTGTTAAAGCTCCAGGACCTCCCGATTTTCAGGGGCACTTTGGGGCATGTGTAGCGTTTATTTGATGTATGGACAGAGATGCCTATTTTCCCACATCTGTCTCTGTGGACCTATCCTTTGTGAAATCCTAAACCTTGTATTAATGCTTAGTTTATGATTCATGGTGTTCTGAGAGCAATTATATAATTTTTCTTGGGGTGTTTATTCGATGTGCACTGTAAAAAAAAAATGAGAGTTATTTTTTGGTAACCCTGTACTTACCTTTTTATTGGTGAATTTCTTTTCCTTTACTGTGACCTGTGAATATCACTGCAGGCTCACTGCCAATTTTGTGAGCCGCTGCCTGCTTCAAAATGGAGGCAGGAAGGTATCCATTTTCATCAAGAGGATGACAGTGTTTCAGTCTTTCTGACCATCTGGAGAGAGGAACTTTGAGAGCAAAAGAAAATAGGGATTAAAAAAATTTGTATTTAGCAGAAAAGGCAAGAGGGAAAACTAATTAAAGTTAAACTATACCTTATGAATTTGTGTTTTTCTACTATGCTGTCCTGTTTAAAGAAAACGTAAACAAGAAAATACACAGGCTATTTTTATAAAGAATTGATTTCCCATGTCTCATGAGTATTAGTAAATGAATGTAAGTAAATTAGCTTTTTGGCACACTTTTTAAGTTTATTGTACACACAAATATAATAAGCACGAAAAAGGAGGGCTCCCTCCTCCTGCTTCCTATGCACACGCTGATTGTTGGTGGTCTTATGTAGATCCAGGCTTTTAATGGCCTTTTTCATGCATCTCTGCAAAAAGCTGACACTGGGAATTTAATATTCTAAGATATATTTATCACTTTCTGTGGTTTGGATAGTTCATTTGTGTTCTCTTCTCTCTCCCTCTGTCTCTCTCTCTCTCTCCACCTCCTCTCTGTAAAACTGAAAATTTTAATTGAAAGGTAGAGTTTTTACTCTACCATTTGAAAGAGGTTTGATGCATGTCTTTATGTTTTTACTTTTCACGTGCTCATGGGCCATCTGTGTTTAGAAGAAAAAGAAAGAAGTGCTTAGACTCACAGGATTACCCTATGGGTATTATATAGTGTATTTACAACTAGACATGGTTTTCATCGACTGGAATATAACACACCTGGTTGTTTTCTGTTCATACAATACACCGAGCTTTTGTTTTGTTTTGTTTTAGTGTGTTTGGAAAGGGCACTGTTTCTAGGGTTTGTTCAGATTTAAACTGGGAAGGCTAGAGATGTAGCACTTTATGCCTACGTCTTGTAAAAGAATGGAGCTTTGAGATGCTTTGGTCAATGCAAAAAGCAAAACTCAGTTGGTTCTTTCTCCTCAGGTCTATGCTCCATCAGCAAGCACTGCCGACTACAATAGGGACTCGCCAGGCTATCCTTCCTCCAAACCAACAACCAGCACTTTCCCTAGCTCCTTCTTCATGCAAGGTAAGATGCTGCTACTTTTGAGTGAAAGGCCACTGGATAGCATTTCCCTGGGTCACTTCATGTCACAGATGGGGCAAAAGAAATAGAATAGTAGGCAAGCGTAGAATTTTTGAAGTCATGCTCTTCTTAGGTACTGAATTCCTTAAAAATTAATGTATTGATTAAAAGTGTACTAAGCCTTTCTTTTCAATTGAACCCCATTGAGCAATAATGGGTTAAGATTAGATTGATCTGCTTCACTTAAAGCTGATGCTCCTGATTGTCTTCCACACACTTCACTACCAACAGTTTCAGCATCTTCACCATCCCCGAGACAATGTAGCTTTTTGTTTCAAAGTGGTTCAACCCCGTGTATGTTTTGAACATCCTGGATTTAGCCAACAGGGAACAAGTTGCCGTAATGTATAACTTTATATAAAATTTTCATCCACTTACCTATTTGTAGGTAAGAACAAGGGTCCAATATGAAGTAATCTACCACAGACTGGAATATGACATGGCGAAAGCTCTGTCCCAATAATAACTTGCTTCGGATAAAACACCCAAGTTGTGGGGGAGAAGACAAATACAGAAAATCACAGCTCTGTGGTAGATAAAGTATATTTGTTCTTTTAATCGTCTAGTATGTTTAAATACATGGATGTGTGTCTCCCCCACCCTGAGCTTGTAGTCTTGCCCACTGGTAGCATACACATTTCTGCTGCTCAAAAAAAGACCAAGACATTTGAAATGACGTCAGCTACTTTAAGAATGGACCACTTGGAGGATGCCTCTAAGGGCTCCATCCTGGTATGCCTGTCGCACTTATTTTCTAATGTAATTATCTTGTTACCAAGTTAACAACACCCTGAATTTAGATGTGGAATTTACCAAGAACCCCTTTATGGAAAACTTTAACTCTTTTTGCCCAAGTGTGAAAACCTTATTTGCATAAGCCCTGTCTACAGGCCATGAGATTTCTTTCTTTCCGTACTTCTAGGAAGGGCCATGTCACAAGAAGGGGAGCAATGAGTACCAGGGAAGGTACCTGGTGTCTCACTCAGATCATAGTTAGACACACTCAAAATCATTCTCATTAAAAGATATTAATCTTCCTTCTCTTCAGTGTGTTTGCTCTTTTAGTTTGTTAGTTCACATGTGAAATTCCATGGAAATCTATAAAATTAGATGGAATGGCTCTCTTAGGAATAGAGAGAATTCGTTCCACGCATAATAGAGCTCGTGTGTCAGGAGTCCTTTATCTGTGTGACCCATGCTAGGTGTAACTCTCAAAGGGGCACAGCAGGCTGTGTCACCTGGGTGTGTTTTGTGCCATGACAAAAAGCTTATCACCTTCAGCTATAAACAGTAGCTACCTCAGCATCACTCCCTTGTTTTGTGAGCAGTGGGAGAGATGTCCTGCAGGTGCTTACAGAGGTTGGCAACTCAAGGATCCATCACTCAAAACAGATTGCAATTGAGAAAATTGATGGAAGGATACATTTCTTCTATCTGCCCAGGAAAATTGCTTTTTGAAGGGTGTACGTTGCAGGGGAGGCCAGGTAGATGAAATCAATAGGCTCCTTTCCCTAGCAGACCACACAAAACATGGAGAAAAAATTTGTTCGTCTGCATATGCATACCCAAAAAGCAAAAAAAAAAAAAAAAAAATTGACTTGACATTTATGATGAGCACAATTAATTTGCACACGTCTAATTCTATTCTTTCAAAACAACATTATGCCAAGATCATGGGATGTGATAAATATTAATTTACTGTGAAAAGCATAATTTATGTAAAGTATGTATTTTATAAGTCTGCATGGAGCAGAGTATTCTGTGTTAACAATCCTAAATGCATTGCGACTGAGTGTATCACATTGTCAGGAGACTCTTGTTCAGTGATATATGTTTTCAATTTATTTGTCATATGTGCTATCTATTTAAAATGTTAGTGATCTTGAACTTCATATTTGAATATAAGGTGACATTTAAACCTCTGTAATCTAAGGACTCAAAGTCAAGTACATGAATGATAACTTTTGAAAAAAATCCTGTGTTTTCACATTATGACCACAGAAACGGTTACGTCATGGTTGTGTCTCAGATCAGCTTCCCTTCAGTAGAGGGGTACTTGGTGCCCTGAGAACTCAAGACTTGCAGGAATATGCAATTGAGGTGAAAGATATTCCGAAACTGCCTGGGGCATATTTTAAACTCACTACTGTGGCCTCTTATTTTTAACTTTAATTTCCATCTTCTAGTTAAAACTCTGAAGTTGTCAAAATCACAGACATGATTTTGCTTGCATGGTTCTTAAAGAGAGAAATCTACAAGTATATTAAAAACCCTATTCCATAAGGCAAGGCTGAATGCCTCAGAAAGTCATGGTTCTGTTTGTCCTTTACAGATGGCCATCACAGCAGTGACCCTTGGAGCTCCTCCAGTGGGATGAATCAGCCTGGCTATGCAGGAATGTTGGGCAACTCTTCTCATATTCCACAGTCCAACAGCTACTGTAGCCTGCATCCACACGAACGTTTGGTAAGGCAGATGTACACAGTAATGGGAATATCACAGCTACTTTATTAAATCTCACCCTCTGTCTTTCCATGCATGTACACGCGGACTCTGCACATAAGTGCAAAAATGGCACACATCCATTATTCTTACAGTTGTATTGTTTCTGTGATCAAAGACATAACAGGATCAGATCACCTTTGGAAACCCTTCCAGAGTCTCTCTGGCATTGTTCTTTTGCTTATTGTGTTTTGTTCTGTGCCTTCTTTATCACAATGTCAGCTTCCTTGGGCACATAAATACATACTTATTTAAGTTGCAGAATCTTAGCATGGCAGTTCCTGGTCATTTTTTGCTGGCTGTAGTTTCAAAGGATGTGCTGCAGAGGGCAGAGTGATGGTCAGTAGGTTGCATACATCACTGAGGGGCATTTTGTTTCCCCTTGACTAGCTCATGTCAGCTCTGGCCTGTTGTGAAGTTCCCAAAAGAAGGAGTTTTTATATTTTCTATAGACTTCCATCAGTAAGAGAAACCATGAGGTTTCTACATGGATCAGATTCCCATCTTTTAGTATTTTAACTTTAATTCCCATCCCAGCCTGCCACTCATACTCAGTTTTCCTCACTCCAGGTAAAAGCTGCTGGGCTGTAGAGTGTTATGTCTTTCATTACTAAACATTTCCACTCTGTCCATCCCCTACATTAATCTATTCTAGTATGTCTCTTTATCCTGGAGGAAACAATTCAGCTGACTTTTTCTGTCCTTAAATACCACCATAGCCCAGAGTCCACTGTTGAACTTAAGATTGTCATTAACCGAAGGAAAGAGCCTAGATTTTGAGTTAGGTTTGGGATGCGGATAAGATGAAATTTGAGTCCCTCGTGCAATAACGTAGTTTTAAAAATGTGTGAACCTCAAATCCTACAAATGCAAAAGCATGTGAGAAATCGAGTGATCCTAGGTGATATCTGCACCACTACGCTTCGTCTTGCATTTGCCCCTTTTTCTTCTCAAATCCACATTTAGGTGTCTTTCTCTGTTCTGATAAAGGAAGTCATTCTGGATTTATGTGGTCTTTGCTCTCTTTTGCTCAACCAGAACTGATAAAAAACAGGTATCTGATATCCTATTCCTATAATCAAAAAAATTCCAGAAGTTAAGATTTCTGATATCCTTGAAAATCCATATTTAGTTGGTCCTAGTGGTGGAGATGCTAAGTTGTCAGTTAGCCTATATATTCCAGAGAAGCAAACAGTAGAAATGGAATTGGCCTCTTTGTATCATCTCCCAAGATGGAACATGAAAATCACAAACTATCTCACATTTCAGCACATTTCGAGTAAATAGCAGATGATTTTCTCTTCACCTATCTCCTGTTTGGAGATATTAGACTGAAAGCTTAGAAAAATATCAACTGTATCCACTATTATTATGCTAGAACTTTGGCTAAAATTTTTATTTCTCCACCATCATTTTCCACTTCTTTAAAACCTTATGGTTAAAACTACATGTGTCCTGTGAACAAGGAAAGTTTTGATTACAAATAAAAGTCTGGGGCACCATACCAGCATATTGGAATTTCACTTGTTTTAAGAGTTGCCCATTTGATGTTGATTTTTCTTCCCTTCTGTGTTTCTTTCTTTTCCTATCATGCTCGAGAGTTTTGAGTTAGGCAATTTGATTTTATCCTAGTCCACTTCATGCATGGGAAGTATCTTTGAAATGTGCTTCCATGCACAAAACGTGTAATTTCAAAATGGAAACCAACTACATTTCTTTTAGAAAAAGTTTTGCAGAACCAAAACAGTATTATCAACTAGGGAGAAAAGATCGTTTTGAAGGAGTAACCCAATAGTCTATATCAGAAGCCATATTTGTAATGGCATTTATCTGCCACAAAACACAGGATTTTCGTTTTTCATCTGATCAGTTAACAGATTTCAGAGAGTAGAGTTTGTTGTTTTTGTTTTTGTTTAAAGGGGACATGAATAAGCTATCTGGTAATGTATACTAATGAATTTTCTCACTGATAGTAAAGCTATTGAATTATTATATCTAGTTACCATTGTACTTTGAATATTTAACCATCTGAAAATCTTTTACTGAAGTGTCTTAGAAGAATCTGACACTGAGAATACTTTGAATATATAGTAGCAGTTGGTGTCCTTTCACTTGAAAATAAAGGTTGTTCCTTACAATTTTATTCTTAGCATCTGGCTAGTCCCATACTGAACAAAGGGATAGTTTAGAAAAAGCAAAGTGCTGCTCCTGGATTATTTGGGGTATAATTTGATAAGCCAAGTTGATATTATCTCTAAAGATAAAACATTTTAAAAACATCATTGCCTTCATCACTTTATGCCGTGTTATAATAGAATGTGTAATTAAAAAGCTTAAGATCACATATTTCAGTAGCGGCTGTCGAGTTGCTGATGTTTAGTCTGTAAATCCCATTTACAGTTTTCGCCTGTCCAACAGAATCCCACAGCTAAGCATTGCTGTGTTACAGATACACACACAAAATCATTCAGATGAATGGAGTTTGTGGTTAAGCTTTGCAATGGGTGGTTGTGGATGATTTATGTTTGGAATGACTTGGCAGAGTTCTTTGTAAGAATAGGATAGAGTCTTCACTGTCTGGCATGATTTAGGCATGGTCTTTGGGCGAAACAGTCCTAGGAGTCTGGGATTTTCCTTTAAAGGAAGTTCTGTTGTCTTTTATTTTTTGTAACATAAGTCGTTACTTTAGTAATTCTCGACTGGAGGCAGTTTTGCCCTTTGGGGAACATTTGGCAATGTCTGGGGACATTTTCATTGTTACAACTAGGGGCTGGATGCTACTGGAATCCAGTGTATAGAGGCTAGGGGTGCTGGTAAACATGACGTCATGTACAGGAGAGCCTCCACAGCAAAAAATTATCTGGCACAAAAGATCAGTAGTGCCAAGGTTGTAAAATCCTGCCCAAACCCAAAGCATGATTTTATTCTTATTTATATGTACCAGTTACTATATTTTCTAATCTTTAAATAATCAACCAGTAGATCAATAAAAAATACCACTAATGGAAACATTTCCAACAGTTACTCTGTTAATAGACACTAAATACACTACTCTTGGGGATCCTAAGTTAAAATGAACGAACAGTGGGCATGTAAAGCCTCACACTTTGTCACACTCCTCTTATCCTTTGTAACAAAGAGGACAGACAGTAATAGAGTAAGAGACTAAGAGGACCTCTTACAGTTGATCCCTAAATCCTCTAAAAGAGACATTATTCTCCGTGTCCTTATTACAGAGATGCATTTATTACATCTCTGAATGACAGTAGTTTTCAAGATAGTTTTTAATGTAAAATAATCTAGTTATAAATCTCATTAGTTTACTTCAACATCTAATTTTCTGAGTCTCTAAAAATAACTGGTTTACATGGATTGCATTGATTTCCACCTTTAAAATGTACGAGGATTAATTTTTCCTTTTATTCTTTGAATTCACCATTAACCCTTTGTCAAGTATCAAATTACTGCCCGTTTTACATAAAAAGTTCCAAAAATTCTCACGGATGTGTTACCTGTTTGGTTCTTCTGATTATTATAGTTAGTTAAATATTTTTTTATAATTATTTTTCTCTTTTTTTGATTTTTGCACATCATGGACTGGTTTGTAGTTCATCTGTTCGTCAGAAATTCCACATGGAATAGGGCTGTGGAGAAGTCAAGTTAAACTTAGTAATCTGTATTTTTTCCCACATTCTGTTTCTTTTCCTCCATTTTGTTATAGCGTTTACCTCTAGAGCAGAAATAGCTCTATCCGTGTTAAGCTTTCAGATTAGCTATGCTATGGAATGGGTCTACTATATTATTCATTGGAGGAAATTCCGTGGACTACCTTGGGTGTTCTTTAGGCGGCACGTAGAAATGAGTTTAACAGGTGGTCTAAGGAATTTTGGGGTCAAGGAAAGAAAGGGGTCCATGGAATTAAAAAATGTGAAAGGCATTCTCAGGAACTTGGAAAGATTTAAAGGCATCATCTCAACTTTTTTACTGAAGTCTTTTAAGTTGGGCTGTTTTGGGCATCCACAGGTAATTTTTTCAAAAACATGCATGCGACATTGACAAATCTTACCTCTGATACATGGGTTCATTTTCTCAGACTATTTAGTTGGCGCTCAAATAAGTTATACTTCAGTCCACTGTTTGTTAAATTCTAACAGATAACCAGCTGTTCATTGAGCATATAGTGTAATTATGTGTTCAGTAGTTAGCCACAAGTTGTGGGATACAGAACTATAAGCTCTATTCCTTTAAAGAGTTTACAGTACAGGTGAAAATACACTAGAATGAGCAAGAAATGAAAGGCAAAATCTAAGTGTTAAAGGGCATCGTGCAGAATGTAAGTGCATTAGGCGCCTGGAGAGAAGAGATTGTGTAAGAGTTAAGTAGTCAGGGAACCTTCAAGACAGAGGTGGAATTCAGGATGGAGCTCACAGAGTAAATAGGGCAGCACTCGACAGACTGTGGTTTCATTCCTCGTGAACAAATGCTTGGGTTTTGAATACCTGTGACTATCAGCATTATATCCCATCTCTAATTTTGAAATAAACAATTTTAACAGCATTTCTAATAGTGACATAATAAAGACTCATAGTCCATTCGTATATTACATATGAAGAAAAAGTGTATTTTAGCTTCAATACTTTGCCTTTACATAACACATTCAAATGCCTATGAGAATAACTTTTGAAGCTGCTTTTTATCTTGAAAATAGCTCAGCACGTTTTTGTAAATTACTATGTACATTTTAGTGATCTGTTCATTCCCAAGCAGATGGATGAATTGCAACTAATTTGCCACCTTACGGGCACTGTGACATACCCAAGAAATGTAGTTTACTTGGAAAACTAATATAATAATTAAACTCAAAGCAAAGTCTTAAACCAAATGATTGTGTGAAGATATTCTTTCATTGCCAGCTATATGAGGAGTGCTTGTAGGTAGGTCCTGGAAAGAAAGGACTCAGACCAAAATGAATCATATGGTTCTAATTTAATTCCATATAGTCAATGGTTAGATATTGATGAGTAAGAGAAATATTTCATTAGTGCTTTTTAAATTTTTTATTTACTAAATTTTATTGTTGCTGTGGTTCAAAAAGATAATTTAATTTGGGAGGAAGAAGATTTGAGACTGTTTACTCTTTGCCATCTAGTTTCAAGAAGGTCAGGATGAAATGTAATATAAGCCCTGTGGGTCATAATGTTGTTTTATTCATTATATGGTGGAATGTTTTTCACTTGATCAATAGGCCATACAAACAATTAATAGTAGAGTAGTCTTCTATGTTGCTGAAACCTTGGAGATGATTTTAAGCAGTAATTTGGTAGATTTCGAGATTGTGATCCTTTCTCAGTGTCCCTCATTGCCATTATATTCCTCCACAGTTGATGCAAACCGAAGCTAACTATGTATCTGTATAACTTACTATTTGAAAAATGAAAGCCGTCAGATATAAGCAAGATATATTCTTGGCTGTTTTGAAATTCTAAAAGCTGTCTCCATTGTAAAATAGAGAGTTGTGAGAAAAGTATTTGAAAACTAACTCACTTGATACCTTGTGATTAAATATGGCCACCTTTTTCTGCTTCTTCCTGTAGAGCTATCCATCACACTCCTCAGCAGACATCAATTCCAGTCTTCCTCCGATGTCCACTTTCCATCGTAGTGGCACAAACCATTACAGCACCTCTTCCTGTACGCCTCCTGCCAACGGGACAGACAGTATCATGGGTGAGTCACAGAAATGCCAATTCTGATACCGATAGTCGGTGTCCGGGTTTAATCATCAAGCACCTCCTTTTTCCCCTTCATAACTGAATAGCAATTAAGCAATAAATATTAGTCACATAACACACAAATGAACCAAACAGAAATAAAACCACTGGCTTGAGCATAACCACATTTTTGGTCACAAGATACTGAAATTTGGCTACATTGTCTGTTGCAAATCATTAGTTTGAACCAGGGTTCAAACAGACCAAAACTTTCTTGTTCCTCACACTCAGAAATAGTGAACAAAGTCATAAGATGAGCCATCGGAGACTAGTGAGCTACAAAGCAGAATAGCTCTTAATGATACTTACTGATCACTTGCCAAATTCCAGTTACTGTACTCGGCTCTTATCCATGGTGTGCCACTGTCTTCCAAGGACTGGTTTATATGAAATTCTCAGGTGACTGTTAATAACTACCTGAGGTTAATCTTCTGGAGAATGACACTGTGGAGTCCCTCAGAGGGGTGGAATCATCTGCTCAGTTATGAGAGAGGAGACGCCTGGGCATCAGTTGGCCAGGAGTTATTTGCTGCTTTTTTTTTTTAAACACCAAGGACATTTACTAATGAGTTAAGGTCCAAGAAGAATGCTGCTCCCATAAACTGAGCCATCATCCCCTCCTTTCTCCTGATGTTCATTGTAGTCTTTTCCCTGGGGCAGGTGGTTGCCTGATCAGTACTCCTACCTTGAGACAGGAACTGGGCTGGATGTCCAGCTACCCCTGGAGGGAAGAGTTGGAGTTGATGGGGAGATAGATAGCTACTACCTTCTTCTGAACCAGCTTTGACAACCTTGTTGTTCAGATGACCAGCACAGCTTAGTGCACCAGGGTCTTCTTAGAACTTTCAGACTTCTAAGGTGGTCACTTTCTGGGGTTCTAGTTCAAACTAACTCCTTGCTTGGCCTGAATGTCACTCTCAGAGCATCCATGGGGAGAATCCTCAGTATATGTCTTTGAGAGAAGATTATGCAACAGAAAAATGCTGCTGTTTAATCCTCTTAGCTCTTTGCACTTGTTTTCTTGAGAGAGTCTGTAGAATTTTGGGAAGTGGTGTGAATCACTTATTTAGGAACATTTTTGATGAAGGAGAGATGTGTTTTGAAATGTTGGAAATATAATTTCTGCCTCAATAATGCCCTCCCTGCTTATTCAGTAATATATTTCACACTTGAGATGAGCCATCTCGCAGCCTCTCCACTCCACTGTCCTAAGAGGCAAATAGAGGAGTTTCCATTTCTGTAACTCTAACCAAGCTTCTACAAATGCATTGCACCAGTTTGACCTTGGAGAGCTACAGACAGAGGTCACATGGGGAAGTTTGTTAGCTATCAATGCAGTTTTGGCAGATTTGAAAAACAAGAAGAAAGAAAGCAGTGCAGAACTGAAAAAGTGAGAAAAGCATATTTCACTTCAGTGTGGTTTGACAAATGGAAAGCCCCTTTCTGCAGTCATGAGGTCTGGTTATAAAGAAGGATGACCGGTCATTCATCCTTTTACATGACAGATTTCCTGTCTACTTGTGGTCTGAGTAATTTTCTTTTTTTAGGAAGGTATGAAGGTGGAGCAGAACCTTGAGTTGAGGAAAACATATTTAGGCACTGTTTGAAAAAAAGTTTTACTGATTGATTTGCAAAACAGTCCTCTTGAGAGAGTGGCACTATGACTTGGAAAGGATATATCAGGAAGTGGGGTGGTTACCTCCATGACTTGTAGACAGCTCAGCCACAGTTCTCAGTGGGAATGAGGTTTTCTTGGTTTTAGCTGATTGTCTTCATCGTTAGTTTGTGGATGAACAGGAGAATCTACTTGTTGGTCTAGGCAGAGTGGAGCAATAGTGACTTCAATATGCTAGATAAGAATAGATTTAACTTGGTAAAAACCGCAGGTCCTTATTTAAGGGTCTTGACAATAATAAAGGTGCTATAATTTAAAAACAAAAGTATGAGATTTTTAGAACTCAGAAAAGGGCTTTTTAGAAATTTATCACATACATTATTTTACAATAATGGATACACTTGTCAAAATCCATTAGCACAATGAGAAAAAGATGCATAATTTTTCAGGAACTAGGTAGATATGGTAATTCAGCATTTTAGAGGAGGAAACCTTTATTATTTTGCATAAATACAGATATTACTTTAAGTTACTTTAAGAGAGAACATTCTAGAATGTTTTTCTTTAAAATGGCATGTTCACCAGTTGCATACGTGAAAATGCAGAGGAAAATTTAAGCATAATAAGCCTTAGTATTGAATGATGTTTGAGTGGTCCGTGTTTCTTCACACTTAAGTTCTCTTAGTTTTGGTTTGAATTTTTCAAGTGTGGTATAAGTCAGTGATGGCAGCGTGTCTGTATAACAAGAGAAGCTTTCTCTTCTGATGTTAGTGATACTTCCCTAACAAACAGTATGGACTAATAGGATACATCTGCAGACTTTTGAAAATATTTGGCATATAGTCACTCATTCTAAAATGCAGGAAATAAAGAAATATTACGTTGCCTGTATCTCAAAGAACAAACAGAGCTAATTAAATAATTGGTAAATAGGGAACACATAGCCTGACACATGTTTGAGATTACACATGATTCTGTAGAAAATGACTGTAAGCAATACTAATGCCTGAAGAATGGGGTTCAAGCACTAACACATGGACATCACATTTTTCACGTTTTCTTGGTGAAAAGTTGCAAGACAGTGCAGTCATTTCATATGTGGTGTTGATGTCTTAGGAAGCTGCTTTTTCAGTTCAGAAGAGGGCTGCTGCCCTTCCTCTCAGTGTCATGTTATCATATCTCTTTCTGGTGGTCAGCAGTTATCCTGAACTGACACTAGAACAACGCAGTGCCTATGGGGTGAGATACAAGCTCTAGAACTCTCAGAAGGTAACCTCTCTGTTACGACACTTCGTTTCTTCTTCTTCTGTCCTCTGCATGTCAAAGACGGAAGATGCCCACTGAAGTTTGCTGTTTGTTTGGCTTGGGGGAGTAACTGGGTATTTCCTGCTTTATTTTCTTTTGCCCTATAATATCCAATATCATTTTCTGAGAAGTCCTTAAGAAGGATAAAGCTTATTAAGATTACCTTAATGAGGGTTTTTTTTTTAATGACACATTCATCCATGGATTTTCAAGAGAATTGTAGAATAAGGTGCTTTATTCATTACATATAGTCTAACTGCTTTTCTTTTTTTTTTTTTTTTTTGCCAATCAGTTTGAGCTTATGAGGTTAGCCTTGAACTGATGACCTCGCCTTCGCGAGCGCCATGACCTCCGGAGGGAGCCACTTTGGACCCCCTAACTGCTTTTCTTAAGCCTTGCTTTCAAATTCTGGAGATCATTTTAGACTTTTCTGAATTGAAAGCGTCATCTAATTAGCCCTAGAATTAGGGGAACATAATGTATGAGACACAACATGGATTCATAGTAGTTTAGCTGGTGGAGCACCCAGTTAAGGAGAGTAGCTCTCAGGGGTCTTCGGGAGTTATCAGCATCAGCATCCTCTACTCAGTTCTTCAAACTCTTTTCAGTGTTATGACACTGGGTATTCTCAGAAGCAGTGCGGTTCAGTGCTTCTGTATCTGAGCATACATACGGAGGAGGAAGTAAGTTATTAGATACCAGCTGTAGAGAATAGGAACGTCTACAGGATAGTAACCATACACATTTGGTTAGCCACGGATTTCCTTCCTATTTGCAATAATATCCAGTAGCCCTTCCTGATGGAAAGAAGTAAGAGGACTCCCTACCATAGCACAGACTACTGACACTACTCGAGGATGAGAATGCTTTGTCTCCCCATTGGGAGATACCATCTGTATACATTCACAGGGTATGATTCTTTGTGGTTTGGGGCTACACACACTCCCTTACCCTCAGAGAGAATATATATACCATAACTAACGTAACAGTTATAATGACTGTTACTGTTTTATTAGTCTTTAACTGGCCTACTTTCTAATACATGGTCTTTCCCATGTTTTTAAAACTCAAACGAAACAGTGTTGAAGAAACAGGCTACCAAGATTGATTGAATACACCATATGCTAAAGATTACCCTGGAATATTTATCTGGTTCATGAATTAATCTGGCTTAGAACTTACACTTCTAATGACATGTTTGTATGACACGTTAGTATGTGTCTTGTCTAGTCGAAACAAGACACATTTGGTTAGCCACGTATTTCCTTACTATTTGCAATAATATCCAGTAGCCCTTCCTGATGGAAAGAAGTAAGAGGACTCCCTACCATAGCACAGACTACTGACACTACTCGAGAACTTATGTCCTTTTCCCGTTGAGGACTTGATTTCACAGTAATTTTATTACTAGAGTAGTCATATAAGATACACTTTATATTTTACGAGATCTCAAGCCTTCAAATAGTCATGTGATGAACAAGCACAGTGCATAAGCATAATATGAATTTTATTCATCAGTGTCAAGGCATGTTCGTTACCAAGACCACCAACAGAGAACAATAAACTAGTTTGATTTAAGTCTTCTCCTCCATTTCCTGTGCATGGTCAGGAAGCCCAACTTCCCCTTAATTCGTATGTTCATAGGAGTCTGTCCTGTTAAAAATTAGTGCATTGTAGTCTATATACTTGAGTTTTTATTTTACAATGGTTGTAGTAGGAGTGCTGGAGATGCTCCCTCTTTTTATCAACTTTATAGACAAGCCCATGGCATTGTTATGCCGCTTCTAATGGTTTAATAACTTGAGGGTCACTCGGACACAGTTTAGAAAAACCTACTTCGAAAGCAGTCATCTTCTCTCAAGCAAACACAGTGTGAATTGTGCTACTCATTTCTTTGATGCCTTCATGATGTTTCCAGCCTTAGATGGTGGGTGTGTGTTAAAGGGGCAAGACATTTTCCGAATTCTGATTTTTAGTAGTTGATCCCAAGGCACCACTCATCCCAGTGTTTTGTTGAGGGTGTGTTCTAATGGGAATGAACATTCCCCCAAAGCTGAGACCGAGACAGAGGGTGGTCTAACACATAGCCCAAGATACAAAACCCTTCTTTCTGCTTCATCTTCCAGCCAGCAACACCCCTTGTGCTCAAGCCATCTGAACAATACTTGGGTGGCAGGCAGTGTTGAAGCCTCCTACAGAATTACAGTTCCCCTTAATAACTGCTCATCTTCCATTCATGTTTGTATGTTACAGCTCTCCTTAGAGACTTGACTGTTTTTCTCTCAGGCAAGATAAATTGATTAGAGACAAAATTAGAAATCGATAGAGTCTTTACCAAGCAAATGCATTAGTTTTCATGTTTATTCCTGTTACATGGGCATTTTGATTGTTTCTAATATGAGTTGACAAAAATCTTGGGCCTTAAGGAGTAATCAAGTCCTGTTATATTAAAGCTGAAAAGGAGGATATGGTGTTTCTTGTTAAACATGGCCTAATTCTCAATCGGCCCCCCCCAAAAAAATTATGCCACTTGAGAATTAAAATATATTCACTTTCCAGTTATGCCCTTTGTTATATCAGTCACACAAATAAAAAGAGAAATCTGTTAGAGAAGAACCCATGTAGCTTAACATGTTCAGGGAATCTAGAAAATGTAGCTTCTCCAGTGTTTCCTGGACCAGAACAAAAGGCATTCCAAGTGAAAGGGCAAACTGGCCCCAGTAAACTGCTTTGAAATTTAAGCCCTTGGGTTTGGCACTCCAGCTGTTGCAAGGTAAAATGGCTTCATGTTAGAAAATAGTCTGTTCTTATCAGTGGTTTCCATGAGTAGCCTTTGTAGTTTTCTGAAATATTTTCATGACAAGATGAGGTAAGAAGTTGATTCTATTTTTAATTCTATTTCCTGAGTCATAATATCTCCCTGTATAAAACAGGCACGGTAGAAAGTTTAGATAGAGGGTTGTAGTACTAAAGAAATCAGAATGATCATATCTTGTCTCTTCTAATGCGTGATTTTAGGGTATATAGGTTTAGTTTTTAAATGCTCCTAAAATATTTTTATTGGTTTTCAATACTTTGTTTAGTTTCATAAAAATATATGTATTATTTATAATCTTCATTTTAAATTGTTTAAAGGAAGAGTTAATCTTTTGAAAGCCACTACTGTAGCAGATATTATCTGTAATGAAGCAATATCTTGTTCGTTTTTGGCTTAGGTTCTTTGTTAGATAATGTGATTTTTCCAGTGTAGCTCTGAACTTTTTGTGAAAATCTATATTCAAATCAAGCAGATAACACAAATTATTTTGACTGGTAGCTCTAATTTTTAGGTCTATAATAATGAAAAGAAATACTGTTTCTAGGGGAAAAGAAAGATAAGCGCCCCCCAAATACCACGGTAATGCATACTGAAAAAACATTCGTGTCATTTATATTTCACATCGTTATTATTTTCCCTTTAGAATTGTTTTTAGGGTTTTTTTGTTTTTGTTTTTGTTTTTTCCTTTGAGACAGAGTTTTGCTCTTGTTGCCCAGGCTGGAGTGCAGTGGTGCGATCCCGATCTCGGCTCACTGCAGCCTCTGCCTGGTGGGTTCAAGCAATAGTCCTGTCTTAGCTGGGCATAGTGGCGCATGCCTGTAATCCCTGTTTTTAGTCTTTAAAGAACTCCTTAATGCAAAAATTCTTCTCATTTTCACACTAGATGTAATTTGTTATATTTTATCTTTGTTAAATATTTTTAATACGCTTGATATCTGAGTTGCTCCCACTGATCCATTTGTATGATGTCAGACCCTCATTTCAAAGAACTCACTTATACAGTTCCTATCATGAGTGCTAATAAACCATGTATTTTTAATATCATAACTTTGTGATAATGGAATAGAGGTCTCTTTGTCACAAGGTAATTGTGTTCTTTTTATCATGTGCTAGTTTTCTTTCAGTATTTCAGCAATGAACAAGTATATATGGGTGTGGGTTTTGTCAACCACATAAAGCATATATCGAAAGATTATCTGACATGCCCAACATATAAATATATGAAAATAACAAGCATAGTTTAGCTATGCTAAGCCGAGGTCAGGAGAATTAACTGATGACCTGGAAAAGCCATAGAATTGGACCACTGAAGATCTGACACCGCCCCCCCCCCCCCCCCCACACGACTGCATTTTACAAGTTTAGAAGGTGATGACAACACATTTGTAGGAAAGAAGGCTCTCTTAGTTCAAGAATAGGGCTGGAAAGTCTTAAAAATTATATACCTGTTTAATGAAGTTTTGCTTGGATTCATTGGGTGAGTTAAGCTTTCCTTTTCTTCTTTCACAAAATAGTGAAAACAGACCTTACCCCAGAAATCTAATAGGTTTTATTTAGATACTGTGTCAATTTGCTGATATTTAAGGCCTTAATAAATGCAACATATCCGAAGTTCTAAGCATTCTGTTAATACCGAAGACCTCACAAGAACGCTGGAAATCCCAGTCTGTCACTTAGTTACAAAGGCAAGATACCTTCAAACTATAAGTGTTAAAGGAAGCTGGCTCTGAATTATATACTGGAATATATGTCTTTTATTATTCACAATACTCTTTGTTCTTCTCTTTTGTCGATAAAAATACCAGTGTTTAAGGCAGTCGAGATACGCTTCATGAATATGTAGACTTATTTTATCTCTGGAATCTGAGACCATATTGACTTTTAGTAGCGTAACAGTTCACTTTTTCTTAGTGTAAACACAGACTTTAAAATATGTGGAGAATATTTGTTGTTGAAAACATTAAAAATATTTTCTCTCCTTGTTAGCCAGACCTGTTGTAGAAATATTTGTTTGTTTGATGTACTGTGGAACTATGAGAAGAATACCTCGTTTTGCTATGTATAAAATTTCTATTTATTTGAAAACAGGTAGAAGTTATTTGTGAAGATAATTCCATTTACTATAAAATAATATAAAGAAAAGACAGACTCTGAGGACTCCAGAGGCCTGAAAGTGCCATATACTTGTCAGCAATGACCGTCACATAGATTGCTGCCATTCACCAGCTCATCAACAGCAAGGGGAAGTCATAGCAAGGAAACCACTTTATCTTTAAACCAAGATGTCAGGTTTATATTTTATCTGTAAAAAAATGTAACATGAATATATTTGACATCTACCTCAGCAAACAAATTAATGCTAATTAAAGATTAATGTGTTGTAATTAGCATTAAAAATGCAATTAAATTGTGAGTAAATGGACCAGGAATAGAAAATTGTTAGATGTCTCACTGCCTGGTTTTCATATTCTGCCTTTTGTTTTTGCAGCAAATAGAGGAAGCGGGGCAGCCGGCAGCTCCCAGACTGGAGATGCTCTGGGGAAAGCACTTGCTTCGGTGAGGAAATATTGACTTTGGACTCCATATGTACCGTGGTAAAGGGTGAACTTTAATCAGAAGTGGACATTTGGAATTTTCAAAAATGAATGACATATAGCTTTGATTTTTGGAAAATGCTAGCTTTCTTGCATAACAGTCATTGGGAAATTTGAGAAGGTCTGAACCTTCCCATATCTACATTGTCTCTTCCATCTAATCTTCACAGTGGTACTAACCCCCACTCAATTATGGATGTGGGAATATTCTCCTGACTTTTAAGTTTATAGGTTTTTTTATACTGATGTTTATTTTTCTCTAAAGTAATATGGGTGCTCAATGACCAGCTAAGACTGTCAGCAGGGAATAGTTCTAAAGCACTTTGGAAGAGGCATTTGGAAAAAAAAGACAATAACTGAGGTCCACGAAGAAATGTCACATAATTGGCACTGGGGGACTCAGCTTCTCTGCTTTGCCCACCCACGGCCAGGAAGCTAAAATTGGACATTTCTTATATGTTCCCTGATGACAAAATGGCATACCTTCATTGTCTCAGAGAGTATATATGTGGTATTTTAGTCAAAAACTAAACATGGTCATTTATAAATATAAGTGGAAGGCCAGGTGCTGTGGTTCACATCTGTAATTCCAGCACTTTGGGAGGCCAAGGTGTGTGGGTCACTTGAGGGCAAGAGTTTTAAGACCAGCCTGGCCAACATGGGGAAACCCCGTCTTTACTAAAAACACAAAAATTAGCTGGGCTGGGTGGCACGTGCCTGTAATCTCAGCTCCTTGGGGAGGCTGAGGCAGGAGAATTGCTCGAACCCGAGAGGCAGAGGTTGCAGTGAGCTAAGATCCTGCTACTGCACTCCAGCCTGGGTGATAGAGCAAGACTCTGTCAAACGAATGAATGAATGAATGAATGAATGAATGAATGTAAGTGGAGATTTGCTTCTCTAAGATTTTGTCTCTTCAGTTGGCTTTTACCATTGGGAGCATTAAAAAAGTTCACACTATATTAGCATTGTGCCCTAAGTAAAAGTTTTTGTTTCATCTGGGCCTTCTGATGCTATGGAATCAAATGCCTTAATCTGGCAAAGGAGTGGCGAAATATCTTAGAAGCGATCCTATCCAACTTCTCATTTTGTAGATGAGGAAAGTTCAGAGTATCTACTTGGCTGGCCCATAGCCACACAGCCAGTAAGAAGAAAAGTCTGATTGAAGTCTCCTGACCCCAGCCTGGAGACTCTGTTTCCTCCATCCCATACCACATCAGTTAATTCATGTTTTGAAAAATTAAAATAATTGTTAAGTTTTTTATTTGACAATATTGGTACTGTAGTTGATTGTTACATCTATTTTGTAACTTGTAAGTTTTAAATGAATTGTATCGATAACTGTCATATAGAAAAATGTGAATTATTTAATGAATGAGGGTGTTTTTTTCTTTCTCCTTATTGTTTTAAGATCTATTCTCCAGATCACACTAACAACAGCTTTTCATCCAATCCTTCAACTCCTGTTGGCTCTCCTCCTTCTCTCTCAGGTAGTGTATTTCAAATTCCATTTCATCATATAACAGTTTATGAGAATGATTCCCCCCTTATATATACTTCTTGCGTTAGTAGGTGGAAACTCACTTCCCCCCAAATTCCCAAACTTAATATTCCTGTAACAGACAAATACAAAGGGATGAGAGAGACAAATTACCAAATAACAGTGTAGTCGTTTACATCCATTCCTTTTCTTAAAAATTAGATTATCTTTTTAGAATATACAGGCATATGGAAAATGCATTTCTTACACTTTTCTTAGCTCTGCAGAAGACACCCAACAGCAGAATAATGTATTCCAATAAAACGTCTCAGATGAAAAAACTCAGTTAATATAGTCATGAATATGAATATAGACTATATAGTCATCAAATATAGACTATTTAAATGGATCATTTCCGGCAGAAATTTTAGGCTTTCCAAATTCCCTCTTTAAAGTACATGCCATTGGGATGTTTGGAGAAAACTATAATTTTGTAAATAAATTGTGAAATAATTGTGTGGAGTAGAAGGGATGCTTGACTTTAAAATATAACGCATTCATGTGACCTGTGGCTTCAATTTGAATAACTCTAATTTATAGAATTATGTCAGTAAATGATTTCATTTTTCAGGGATCCATTTAAGAGACTCATTGTCTTTCCAATATAAATGCTTCCAAAAAGCCTTTCCTGGTTCATGTCTCTGCTCTTAGGAAAGGGGACAGGTGGCTTATTAAAAAAACAAAACAACAACAATAAAGCCTAAATCACATCTGTACCTGATGGAAACCTTACCTTACTGTAATTTATAGTGGAGTCACTTACCTACGTCATTCCCTGCATGTTGCTCTCGTGGCCCGGTGTAAACTGGGCTCCTTGGTTGAGAACAGGAGGTTCACATTGCCCCAAACTTTCAGAAGTGACTGTCATGGCTTAGCTGGGATTTAATATCAGCCTCTTCCAAGCTTCCATGGTATGGGAAGATCACAGAATACATTTCCCTTGGTGGCAATAGAAAGTAGAGTTCAGTATTGTTGTAGTCCTCTGGGTTCTGTACCAGATTCTTACAGTCTGAAAAATGATTTCAAGTGTCAGTATCCCCCTTCAAGACAACAAGAGATAGAGAAATCTGAGCAGGTGGAACTCGAAGTTCCACATTGCAAACAAAGCAGCTTTCAATTTTATTCATTTTCTAATTTAGAAAGATAAAGAATGTTCTATGTTGTCATAATGTTTGAGAACAGTAGAGGTAGTCTGATATGCTGATTTTACAGATGAGAAGACTGAGTCTCCAAAAGAGAGTTGAGTTGTTGAGTTTATACCAGTACTAACAGCAGAGCTTAGACAAAAATCTGGTGCCCACAGTTCTGCCAGTCCACTTCTAGATTAATGGTGGGAAAGAAAAATTAGGATGAATAGCCATTCCAGAAAACATCACAAATTCCCTCGACCTGAGTAGCATGCTCTCAGTGAAAGGCACAGAAACAAGGCTAGAGATGCCACTTTTTGGGTCTTGGTAATGCATCATGGAAGACCACATGTTAGGAAGAAAGAACTTTTATGAAGATGCAAATATGGGGACAGATTGCTATTTTCACACCGACGGCTCTGTCCAAATTCTGTCAAGAAAAGTAATTGAACAAAATATTCTATTTTTATTTAGCATAAAAATATACATGCACACCCAGAAAAGACAGGAAGAGTGGATTTAAAAAGTGCTAACGGTGTCGGGGCATGAGATTTCAGTGAGATCATAGCTATTATTTTTTCCTTTTTTGAATTATGTATTCTCCAAGTTTTCTACACTGAATGTGTATTATTTTAAATTAAAAGTATTTTTTATTTTGTAGGTTAGACATATAATATGTATTCTAACAGCAGTCTTTTTTTACATTCAAGTTTAGTGAATCATAAAAAAATTATTTTCTTCAGAAGAAACTTTCAGTTGTTACTATATATTGACCTTAAATTTCTGGCTTAGTGGATCACTGCTAACTAATCCTATTCCCTTAAAAAGTTTTTCAAGATTTATCGTTTTAAAAACAAGTAGCAATGCTGTTTTCCATTGGTGAGAGAATTTTGGTTTAATATAAATTGTCCTTGCCTGAAGTTCTAACAAAATCCCATTTTTGTACCCTTAAAAGCACCTCGATTCCATAGTGATAATTTTTCTTCCACAGGAACCCTTCTAGCCAAAATTCAGAATCAATTAAATGTTCTCTTTTAGGAGACAGCCAGCATGGGGAATTGTGAGTCTATGTAAAGTCTACATATTTTAACATTTAAAATGTTTTCCTTGTCCCCAATTTCTTATATGGGAAGTCTACATGTATTCACCTTATTGTTTAAATGAAAATCAGCATTTCCATTTCCACAAGGACTGTTTAAAATATTGGCAGGCTTCTTTTTACATGTGTCTAGATCTGATTGTAATTCCCATTTTAATATCAGCAGGCACAGCTGTTTGGTCTAGAAATGGAGGACAGGCCTCATCGTCTCCTAATTATGAAGGACCCTTACACTCTTTGGTATGTTCCGTTTGCTAATCTCTGTTCCACCCATTTCCAAGTCATGTTCTTTCCTGTTCAGTCGCCTTAACTCCCCAAGATTCTGATTTTCCCTGTTAGTAACTTTAGATCAGCGTTAAGCGCGCAAGCTCGCTGGAGCCAGAGTCATTAAGCTATGTTTGCTCCCATTTGGAGATGGGAACCCAGATACTACTGTAATGGAAGCCCAGGGCTGTAAATATCTAGTACCAGATAAAATCCTGAAAAGGCAATGGCCTCTTCCCCATCTCTAGGAAATATCTCTGTCAATGATTAAATCACTTCCCTGCTATCAGAGTGCTGGAACTTCAGCCAAGTCCCCTACCTGGAACATTTTGATTCTGTCTACCTCTTCTTTGCTTTCTAGAATAACAGGTTTACAAGAGATTCCCTTCTCATAGAAACCCAGTGATATCCTTTGTGGTAGAGAAGTGCCTACTCTTCCAGGAGGGAATAGCTGAAAATTTCCATGGACATAATTAATTATTATAAATACTCTCATGATGATTCAGTGTCTGACACTTTAGTTTTTCTCTACTCATGATGGTGGGGGCCAGAAATATGCATGGAACAACGCTGGTTTTGCAGCACGTAGGCTGTACATGAATCTAGTGGGAAGGAATAGAGTGAGCAAGAGGAGCCTTTTAGTTCCTCAGGGTTGAATTTTTCTTTCCTCCCTCCTATCTTGAGATGACACGTGGAAGAAGGCGTAGATTTATCTGTCTGCCTTAGTGCTGTCTTATCTTCCACCCTTTCAGCTTAACCTTTAAGGAAAATCTGAAAAGAAAAAACAAAGGTGGATTTCCCTCCTTTGTTGTGTTCTTTCTTGCTATAGTGTGTGAATCATTCAGCTAAGCATTTTGACCAATAAAGGAACCATACGGTGAAACATGTATGCACTACCCAGCCCAGTTAATCTGCAGACCACATCCAAGTAATTAGTTGTCTTAGCGTTTACCCTCATCAGTTATTCTGTGGAGCCTATTTGTCAAAACCAGGCTTTATCCAACTATAGAATCGTAAAGACAAGTTGTATAGTTAAAGACCACAGCTTCATTCTGTTTGAATTCTGAACATTGAAGAAAGATTCACAAGCAGAAACTGCTGTCTCCACCAGGAAGCTGTGAGCCAGAAATTGTGATAGGCACATATATAATTTCTTTTCCTGTATATATTTATACTCAGAAGTAAGTATGTATTATCATTCCCATATTTATAAATTAAAAAGCATATACTCCAAGAGGTTTGGTAACTTTTCCAAGATAAGTATGTAGCAAAGCTAGCAGTCTAGGGGAGGTAGTTTAACTCCCAAACCCACCAAATCAAAATGCTCTGTACAATACACTACTATATTAGACACACATTCTTCCTGTCAGTATAATTAGAAATTGTTTTTCCCTTGCAATTGAGCTGGTATACCTGTTTGCCCAGCCCATTCCAATTCAAAGTTGGCTGTAGCATAATCTAGTGCAAAGAGTCACTAGATTTAAAATCAAAAGACCTAGATTCCAACTCTGACTTTACCATTTCCTGGCAGTGTGACACTACATAATTAATTCATTTAGTGTCTTTGAGCCTCATTTTCATGTCCATATGGAATGGATCACTGTCTTCCCTGCCTGCCCATACACATGTGAAACGAGGATCAATGAGATGGTATATTTTAAAGTATACGCTGGAGCGTGGAATTTTGATACCATTATTGATCACAGTTTTTAAATGAATACATACCTACATGTCCTTTTTCTTCACTGAAAACTATAGGCATTGTCGAGTTGTGAAAAACTAGGGTCCTAATGGCAAGGATGAACAAAGGTGGTTGGTATTTCATGGTTTAAAGTCATGAATTCTATAATGTAGTTGGGGCTTTGAAATCAATTAGATGCCGCAGTGAACGGTTGATTCAAGTGTTTGTGATTCTTCAGTCTTAAAATTTTGTATCACTTTAGTTGACAGAATTTCTCTAACTTTCTTCTGTAACCATCCTGTGGCCCTTACATCCCACCCGCTGGTTTTGATGACAGAAAGCAAGAAACACTGGTTAAAAACTCAACAAGAAATGATCATCCGTATGCTCTTCCCTGTCTTTGATTTGGTACTTAGCACTGTGTCATATACCACAGGGAAGGCCAAAGAAATATACCTTCAGGAAAGTAATTTAGTTAAGAAACTATAATAGGTCATCTTTCCAGTGGTAATTGTTTAAAACTCTTTAACTTAATGCCTGCCAGTAAGTTCCTTAAATTCAATGAATGTTTTCTCTTCTGAAATAAATCTAAATTATCTTTCAAGCTAAGGCAGTACTGTATAGCACATGTATGTTATAGTGTCCTGGAATAATCATTGAATTTAGTTTGTTCATGAAAAATAACACTGTAATTTTAACATTAACATGTTCTATCGGTTTTCTGAAAACAACACTATTTGCATTATTGTTTTAAGGAAATACACTTTACTGGAAACGTGTATTTAGAAACCCGCAGTGTGGTTTTTGTCAACTGAAGTTTTACTTATATAATTTGGAAACGCATTTTGAGCTAAATGAAATTTTGCATCATTTGTTAACCAACAGCAAAGCCGAATTGAAGATCGTTTAGAAAGACTGGATGATGCTATTCATGTTCTTCGGAACCATGCAGTGGGCCCATCCACAGCTATGCCTGGTGGTCACGGGGACATGCATGGAATCATCGGACCTTCTCATAATGGAGCCATGGGTGGTCTGGGCTCAGGGTATGGAACTGGCCTTCTTTCAGCCAACAGACATTCACTCATGGTAAGTGATAAAATTTGTAGACTCTGTAGTTATCATATAGAATTAGAATTTCAGGTATAAATACTGTTGCTGCTGTTTTTTTTTTTAAAAAATCAACTTTATTGAGATATACTTTAACATACAATGAGCCCATTTCAAGTGTACAATTTAAGTGTTTTAATGTATTCACAGGGTTGTACAACCATCACCACAGTCTAGTTTTTGAATATTTTTGCCCCCCTGCAAAAAGAAAAGAACCCCTTGGTGCCCAATAAGCAGTCATTCCCCATCCCCTCTACTTCAGCCCTTGCCAACCACTCATCTACTTTCTGCCTCTATAGATTTACCTATTATGGATATTTTGAGTATGTGGAATCATGCAACATGTAGTGACCTTTTTTGACTGGCTTCTTTGGCTTAGTATGACTGTTGCAGTTTTTCCATAGTCTGCCACATAATAGAGCCTCATTCATTTTTACTGTCAAATAATATTTCACTGTATGGACATACCACCTTAAATTTATCCATTGATCAGATGATGGACATTTGGGTTGTTCCCACTCCTTGGCTATGATGAATAGTACTTCTGTAAATATTCGTGTTTGAGGTTTTGTGCAGATAGATGTTTCCCTTTAGAAGTGAATTGCTGGGTCATTGCTGGTGTTTGAAATTACTCACTTTGGTGACCCTGGCCAAAGTGTACAATTGAAGCTCATATTATGATAGGACATTGCTAGTAATTCAAATTCTAGTTTTTTTTTTTTAATTAAAGAAGCCAAAATAGTGTCTGTCAGTTCTGAGTCTGGGAGATAGAAACATATGGTATATTTATTTGTATACATACACTGTGTGGGACTGTGTAATTTAATAGAGTAGCTTTACCTCTGCCTATTTAGAATAAGTCTTTATTTGAATAATATTTAAGCAGATTTGTCCATATTACAATTGGATTTTATTTTTCCTCATTACTTTTGAAAAGATTTTGGAGATAATTCTTTTTGAGGATGATTATGATGATTCAGAGGCTCTTCTTAATAGAATATTAAGTGATGACAATTAATGAGGTGACTAGAGTGGTGGAGAATGTAACTTGATGAGTGATTCTCTGTAGTTCTGCTCATCACAAGCTCCTACCTGGACTCCTAGCACCTTAGTGTCCTGTTTTGTCCCTTACAGGCTCGTTAAAAGTTGCTTGGATGAAGGTCTATTTTCCATTATCACTGTAGCATTTCCTGCTTAAGCATGGTTTCAAAAGGAAATGCAAAATACGGATGAATTGTGATGAGATTCTTTTAAGTTCTTGCTTAATAGTATTCTCCTGTCCATCTTTCAGTTTCTCTTAGTGAATGTTTAAGAGTACCATTCTGAACGGTGTAGTATTGAAATCTGCAACCAATTTGAAACCAAAAATACTGGTTTATAAATAGAAGCAATGAACTCACATCTAAAATGTGGAAAGATATTTTGAATGCCAAAGTGAAATCTTTTTTCTTTGCCTTGACCTCTGCCCTAAAAATTCATCACCGAATAAAAATTGTTTGTATGTTCATGGCAGTTGTTGAGAGTTTACAAAAGGAAAGTCTAGATTTTAATTTAGCTTGGCCTCAGGTAATGTGTTAAATACACTTGGGATGCATATAATATGAGATTTTCATTTGTACAACTCTTTTTTTTTTTAACTACAATGTTTAAACAATACTGCTTTTAATTAAGAAATCTGGCTTTATTAAAAGCCAGATCTGTGACTTATAACCATTTCTGTATATCTGCTCTCAATCAAGAGAAAAATAGTTTAATTTCTGTAGCTGTGTTCATTTTGCATATGTTAAACGGATGTAACATGCACCCAGGGCATTGCTTCAGAGACAGTCTTTTCCATAAATATGTAAAGTTTTTCTTAAATACCAGATGTAGGTTAAGTGGTTCTTTTAAATATTAAATCGTACATAAATGCTTTTTGGAACTATTTGACCTTTGAATTGCCTTCTTTTTGAGTCTGATTCAGAGGTGGGATGGAAGGAAAAGACTAGACTTATTTTGGGAGATGGGAAGTTGGACTGACCTCAGTAGAAGGGAAAGTGAGATTATAGAACGGTAGAAAAAAGGAAATAATTAGCCAATATTACACAGAATCCTCCTTGATTGGATCTTACACACACACACACACACACACACACACACACGCAAGCAAGCAATAACGCCACCAGTTTTGCTGATAAGGAAAAGTTCCTGTTTTCTTCTCTGAAGACATTTAATATTCAGTCAAGGACAGCCACAGAGCCAACCAGATGATAGCGTAACTCCAAAGATGTGGCATGTCATCAACCTGCTGCCCTTTAAACCAAATAGGGTTTTGCAGTCTCTCTTCTTTCTTCTTGAAAACCATTCAGTGAGTCCCCAGAATCTGAGGTCCTCAGCCTGAAACACTAATGTGTGTGAAAGAGATTGGTTTGGCGTATCTTTCCCGTGCAAACTGGTATGAATTTTAAAACAAAAACATAAGAACAAAGGAAATAGTTTTTGAATTTAATCAGTCTGAAGTTAGCCTTTGACTATTTGATACATTCCACAATAAAAAGGAAGTTTAAGGGGAAGGAGAATAAAACACTCACCCCCCCCTTCCCCCCAACAACAAAAAAATTCAAGGAGGATACTGGTAATGTTTTCCACATTTGAATTTTAATACATGAAGCAGGCTGTAAAACTTTGGCCAGCTGCAGTAAATAAAGTAGCCGTGGGAGGCATGCACCGGAAACTTGAGCAGAAAGCACTGGTGAGAGTCTCATTCCCAGCTACACACCTTCGTTTGTTGTTCTGGAGCGGAAGCGAGTTGCGGTAACTTGATCCTCATCCCAGTCCCGCTTTTGTTTTGAGCACATCACCTTTCTAACTCTCCTTAGTAATTCCTTCTGATTAAAGAATTGACAGCTTTGAATCCTCTCGACCTCCGTCCTCTTCTTGTTTCCTCTCTCCGCCTTCCAAAAATCAAAACAAAATGGCTTGATAACTTGGAAGGTGATATAAGCATTTCTTTCTGCAGCAGCTTGAAATCGTGGTGGGGAAAACTGTGGTTCTGCCTTGGCTGTTATCTCATTTAATTGCTAACATATTGTCCTTAGCTTTTGATTCATAAAATGTTTTCCTTGGAGTTCTGAAGTAGGTCTTCAGTGATTGACTAAGTATTAGTATAATGAAAGGGATTTTTTTTTCACAGCGGCATGGCTCATAACACGAGAGTGGATGTTTGTATACTTACAAGCTTTCTGGATGATATTATTCAGCTATGCTTCTTTCCTGCTCAAAAACCTTCCCTGGCTTTCCATTATCTACAGAATAAAGATCAATTCCTTAGCTCAGCATTTGAAGCCTGTTACCATTTACCGAAAGCCTTATTTTGAGCCCTTCCAATCTGCAACAAGTCTTCCAGCAAGACCAGGCTGTGCGTATTCCCAGAATTCACCCTGTATGTTCTCCTTCAGTACTTTTGTATCCCTCTGTCTTGTCCAGTCCTATCTGCTTATCTCTGTACACCTAATTCTCACCCGTTCTCAAAGTACTGACTCAAATCATTCCTCTTCCAGGAAGCCTTCCCTTGCTACCCCACCCATGCTAGCCATTTTTTTCTCTACTCTTACAGCCCTGTGAATCATACCATTTCTAGATACTTGTCTTACCCAGCTCTGCATAGCTTTGCATCTTTTATGGGTATGACTCTGCCTTACCAACTGTTGTAAATTCCTCGAGTCCCACATACTACATTTTGTCTCTCTCCCCCCGACCCCCGTAAATAGATCATCCATAGAAACAGGAGAAAAGAAACGAAGAAACTAACATAGAGATTCTGAGTGCCACATGAGTTGGCAACCCCTCTGCTAGGCGCTCCACGTGCATTGTCTTAGGCAGTCTTCACAGCCGCCCAGTGAGGATGACGATAGTGGCCATTTCAGGTGTCGGTAAAGTGCTAGGAAGTTTGAGCAGTTAGTCGCAAGTCACGCAGCTGGATTTAAACTCAAGCACATCAAGTCCAAATTCAATGCTCTTTTTACTACCAGGCACACTCGTCACAGATTATCTATGAGAACACCTTTTGATAATTTATTTAAATGCTCGGAGCCTGTGATTTTCAAACCTTGCTAAGTGTTGGTTGGCAAAAGAAGTTTCCAGGTATTCCATGGCTGGGTTCCCAGAGCAGCTCTCTACCCAAATGTACAGAGAACTTTCCCTCCAATTTGGTGGCATGCTTAGATTAAAACCCGCATTATCTACCCACTTATTCTTAAACCGATATGTTTGTGCTGAGTGCCTAAGAGGTGTGAACTCTCCCTACCAGGGTCCTTGAGGTAGCAAATTTTAAGTTATTTAGTTATTTTTCTTACTATAACCACCCATTTGTCCTCTAGAATTAAAGCAGAAATCTCTGCATGTGGGAGAATAAGGAAACAGCCAGGTCTTCACTACCCTAGGTAGAAATTCTTACCAACTGGGGTTCCCTCTCTGCTTCAGAGACTTCCATGGTAAATCCTGATATTAAATTTTAGATATCTTATAAATTATTGAAAGGGCAATTTTCCAAATACAATTCTCTCCATTATTCATTCAGTATTCAGATCCACAGATGAGACCTGGAAAGAAGCCTTTCAGATGACCTTCCTAACCTCTTTTTTAACTGAGTAAGAACAAAACCCACATCAAACATGCCTTTATGTGACTCTGTGTGCTCCTGGTGATTTGTTGGTAGAGTCAGTGATGATGGGATCATGGAGCTAAAAATCCTCTCTACTATTCATATATTGCATTAGGGTAGCTCTCAGATCCTTTTTGTTTAAAGCCTGTTTATTCATTTCAGTAACATTTATCCATGGTTACCAAGTGTAGGCTCTGTGCTCTCAAGGAATTCACAGACTAGTAGGAAAAGATGTGTATTTAAGCAGATTGCTGCCTGCCAGTCTGCTATGCCCTCCAAAAGACCAGGGGCCCAGCTCTTAACCAGTAGTGAACTGTCACATGGTTGCTTGGTGGAG